ATTAAGATTTTAACAAACATTTATAGAGAATGTGGATTTCCATTCATTCATTGTTGTACATTTTCCTCCCTACCCACCCCTAGTTCACTTTTCTCTTTGAAAAAAAAAATTTCATTGTTGCACAATTTCCTCCTCCATCCCTACCCCCACCCCGGCCGCCACGTTGCTATTCAGTTTTTATTTTGAACTGTTGTCATGCAAATAATACCTAATCATATATTCCTTTTAAACAGTTCTTTCCTTCATTTTTTTTCAATGCAGTGTACATTATTTATCCCCTCTTTTCTTAATTTTCCCCAACCCCTATGTCAGTCCTATTTTACAACAGTGGCATTATGTAGTATTTGCCCTTTTGTAACTGAGATACTTCATTCAGCATAATATCCTCAAGGCTCACCCATTTTGTGTAATATTTTATGAGTTCTTTGTTGTTCAGTGCTACATAGTATTCCATTTTGTGAATATATCACAGCTGCTCTAGCCATTTGTTTGTTGGTGGGCACTTGGGTTGTTTCCATTTCTTTGCTATTATGAAGATTGCAGTAATAAACACAGGTGTGCATGTATCTGTTTGGGTGGAAGTTCTGAATTCTTTAGGGTATATTCTCAGTAGTGGAATTTCTGGGTCAAATGGTATTTCTATTTGCAACTTTTTGAGAAAGAGGCATACTGCCTTTCATAGTGGTTACATGACTTTACACTCCCGCCAAAGGTAAATAATAGTTCCAGTTTCTCCAGAACCTTGCCAGCATTTGCTCTCTGTTGCTCTGTTAATTTTTGCTATGCTTACTGGGACGAGATGATATCTCATAGTTGTTTTGATTTCCCTCTTCTTTTTTTTTATTTTATTTTTTGTGTGTATCATCAAATCAGATCTGACTTGTCAGGAGATTTTCCCTCCTTCTCCAGCAGATTATCTGATGGATTCAAACACATATACCTCTGGGATTGCAGTGCAGCTTCTTACCACTAGGCCATCAGAGCTCCCCCATCTTCTTTTATTGTTTCCTGGATCATGTAATATTCTACCCATAGCATCCTTATGCATTTCAACTTGACTGTTGAATTTGTTCTTCAATTCCTTCAGTTAAGAAATGCCACTCAAGTTTGTCCCTTTTGATTTTCTGACTCTAATTCTTTGCATATTTCACTATGATACTTTGCTTTATCTTCCCACACTGCTCTTTGAAATCTTCTGTTCAGCTCCTTAACTTCTTGATTTCTTCCCTTTGCTTTGGTTTCTTGACACTTTGGTGCAATCTTCAGATTCTCTTCTGACATCCGTCTTGGTCTTTTCTTCCTCTTCTGTATTTGTAATGACCTTTTGCATTCTTCCTGGATGATATTCTTGATATTCTCCCACAGCTCATCTTGTCTTTGCTCATAAGTGTTAATTAGCATCTCCAAAAATAACAACTGCTGTATTTGTAATTTGAAATTATTTTTTAATTTAGAAATATTAATCATATATAAGTTATATAAAACCTATATGTGATAGATTTGTTAAACTTGTCAAGTTAGTCTGTTAAGCAACTGTTATTCGGTGTATGGAAGGTACTTCTCTCTGGTCAATATTCTCTCTTTGTCCCCTAGTGCATTGCTCCTGGATAAGTGTATAGACAATTCTGCTCAATATCTAGGTTACCAACAGGCTGTAAATGTCCCCTTTCTACTTTCCCTCTAGTCTACTGCTGGTGAGCCTGCCCCCAGGCCCAGGAGCTAACAGCCACAGGCTTCCCAAGAATGCCTTCCTGACACTGTGTCCACTGCCAAGCCTACTATCCCTATTTCATCCCAGGAGCAAGCCTACCAAAGGTCTTCTATCTACATCCATTGGTCTGTGCTGCTCAGTGTGCATTTTCTGTCCCAGCTAAGAAGTGACAAGACTACATGCTTTCCAAAGAAATTAATACAACCCACACAGGAATAAAACACTATAGAAACATGAAAATGCAAATTGGAATAACAGGACCTATATTCCAGAAATTTTCAACAAGTGAGAGGGACAAAAAAGTAGGATCCAAGAGAAAGAATGGAGATTCTGTGAAATAGATGACAAGAACCCCAATAAGAACTTACTAGGAAAAAAAAAAAATAAAGATGGAAGGAAAATGGAAAAAAATCAGAATCATGTGAAATTAAATCAAATGAAACAGTATACATTTGATTGGAATTCCAGAACAAGAGGGGAAAATAAAGCACATAGAAAATTGTGAAAGAGGTACTAAAAGAAAACTTCCCACAAATAGGAATAATGAGGAAATATACATTCTAAAAACTCAGGAAACATCAAACAGACTGTTGTTGTTGTTGTTGTTATGTGCCATCGAGTCGACTAGACTTCAAAATAATAATTAAAAAAAAAGATCAATATATATCATAGTCAAATTCTCCAAAATAGAAACAAGGATAGAATAATACTAAAAGTAGTGTGAGAAAAACAAAGGTAGCTCTGAATTAATCAGAAACCACGCAAGAATAAAGAAAATGCAATTAGATGGCATATACAGAAGGCTGAAAGAAAACAAATGCCAGCAGAGGATCCTGTATCCAGCAAATGTGTCCATCATATATGAAGGTGAAATTAGGTCACTTGCAAAAAAAACAGGAGCTTAAGGAATTCATGAAAAGAAGACTAATCCTACCAAAAAAAAAAAAAAAAAAACAAAAAACAAAACAAAAAACTAAAGGAAGTCCTTCACACAGAGACAGCAAAGGAAAGTTGATGGTCCAAAGTAAGCAGCAAAAACAACAAAAGGAATGCAGCAAAATAGCAACAACAAGAACCTGTTTGTCAATAATCATGCTCAATGTAAATGGCTTAAATACACTGAAGGGGTGGGGGTCTGGGGAGTAGCTGAAAGGATGAAAAAGCAAACCTAATCAATGTGTTGCCCACAAGAGATACATCTAAGAAATAAAGAGAGACACACTAAAAAAAATCAAAGA